TAAATTGAGGTGAAAGTGGGCCATTTGGTGATATAGGCCACTCGGTATTAAACTACGTTATACTATATATTTTCAATTGTTTTCCCGAGTACTATTATTCAATCTTCTATCGAATCCAAATCTATTAATCTATCAATCTATCAATCTATGAATCTATAAATCTAATGACTTTTTTGAAGAATGTATTAGATCGCCTTTCACTTTATTCGATGAATCAAACAACATATCAATCTGCCCATATACTATTATATTTATATTCGCCTCAGATCTAGATTATAGATTTGGTTGTATAATTATTTACGAACTATCTATTAGGCATTCTTTTATTAGTCGTACCAAGAGTTTACTTAAAAGTTGATATATCAATAAGGGCTGTACCGTGCGTGTTTGATTGAGCTCTTCGAAATCTGATATACAACGATGATATGCATAAGAGTGTAGAACATATTTGTCAATGGGCTTCGAACGTTTCAACCATATTTGTCAACCAGATGGTCCATATGAAGCAAAGCATTATATATGTATATAACAACACTGAACAAAGTTCTTACTGGAAGGAGACAAAGGCGGGGCCATTTCTAGTACTAGTAGAGGATGTTGTGCCAGCATTTAGAGACAGTGAAACGATGGTAGCAGTTGCTGTTGAAAACTGACTGTCCCCGAAACACGCCCTGTTGAAAATACCTCTCTAGTCCTGAATGTATTATACACCCAGGATGATCGCTTTCTCTGGACAACAAAAGCAAACGAAGCTTCCCATCCTTCCTTTGCTAAGCCCCCAAAATTTCACTCCAGAAGACTACAGGAACTTATAATAGTCGGCTCTTGTAAGCGGCCTCCTAGTTCCTAGTCGGGGAAAGCGGTTGTCCCCTTACTTTTTTAAGGGATAATTCATTCAGTTCTAGAAATAAAATCAAGCATTTGATTTTATTGAATTTCTATGATTTCGCTGAATTCAATAATAGAATTTGTTTTCAAATCGTATAATATTTTTTGAACAGGGACAACCGCTTTGCGAGGACAACCGCTTTCCCCGACTAGGAACTACAGTAGGAGGCCGCTTATAAGAGTCGACTATTAGCGGCCACTATACAGGCGTCAACTCGACAACTTTTTGTGACAATTTCAAATATATCTTGCCCAGCTGAGCCAGACTGGATGAGGTCGAACATTCAGTCATTTGTTTTGGGTCTCATTCCAGACTAAGACCCGTAACACTTTCTCTCAGATCCACTGCAGTCTATAGAAATGTGCTCATAAGCTCCAAACTTGTATAATGTTGCCATTTCCCTCAGCGACTACAAGGTAATTAGTATTTGTAAGAGTGGCCCAACCACAAAATCCACGGCCTGTGTAACTCTAAGACAAATATTTGCTAGCTGACCAGGTAAGCTACTTAGGAACGCTTCACGTGAGCATTCAATCCTAAAAGGATACAATGAATTTATCTCATCCTCAGACCACACGGTGATTACATAATTTTTTGGCCTTGATTTCAAGATAGGGGCCTCCCGAAGGTTTATTACCATAAGGTTTGAAACAATTTGGTTCTAGCTTTGATAAAAAAACCAATAATTTATTATTTTTTGATTTTTCAATTAAAGATTATAAATCACTCAATAATTGTATTACTTTAATATAGTTTCAATATATACAAATAGATTTTCTTATTATTTTGATATATTTTTTATTATAATAACTTTAATGTGGTTTATCATTGAATGGGCTATATCATTGAGTGAATCATTTTTCCCTCAATTCACACCTTCAACTTCTATATATAATTTATCAATCAATTATTATAGAATTAATTAATCAAGAAGCCCAAAACTTTTTTATTATTAAAGCTATTTATAAAAATAAAAAACTAAATATTTGAAAAACTTTTAAGTTTTATAATATTCTTTATATGATTTTTCAATATAGAATGAATAATTTATTATTTTATATAGAAATTCAAACGAATTGTTATAATATTATAGAATTAGAAGAAGAAGTAATTATTCAATATATTCTTAATATAAATTTAAGAGATTTTCTATTTAAATTAAAAAATATGAAAGATATAGTAAATTATATTCTTAAATCAAGAAATATTAAATATATTAAAAGCTTTAAATATATTGATTTATAAATATCAAATCAAATTAAAGATATGTTTTAATTATATTTATAAGTTTTCAAAAGATTCTTTATATAAGATTTTAATTTATTAAAAAATAATTTCGATTGATTATAAATATATAAGTGAAATATAATAGTTTGAATAACGATTTCTATAAATTTCAATAAAATAAACTTATAATAAATGTATATACTTCAGAATAAATTATAATATAATATTAAATGAAATAATAGAAATAAAATAAATATAATTAGATAATAAAGAATAAATTATAGTAATTATATATAATAATAAAAAAGATAAAATTATATTCCTATTTCTAATAATTTAAAAAACAGATTTATTTTTTAATTGATATATCGAAATCGATTTTCCTATAGATTAAACTATTAAATCTATATTATAAATAAATAAATAATCAAACAGATGTAAAATAATTGAAATATTTCAATAAATATATTAAGAATCAAAAAAAGAGTAAATATCAATATTGGTATTAAACAAAATAAAAGTTATAAATTAAAAGCTTTTTAAATATATTACAAAGAAAATAATATTATACTTAAATCTATTATTATATTCAAATTATTTAATTTAATCATTAATATAAACTATTTTAATAATTTGAAATATCTATATAATAATCAAACTAATAAATTTATTAAGATATATATTAATTATATTTCAAAAAATTAAATTCTTTATAATTTTTAAAATTATATATAAAGAATTAATTACTTTTCAGAATATAAATTTAGAATTTCAAAAAACAAATTTAATTCTATTTAATTCTAAAACTATATTTTCGAAATTAGATATTCAAATTTATATATTTATTTTCCCTTTTTTCAATTTAAATTAATAAATCTCTTAAATCCCTTATAATCTAATTAAAGCTTTTTTTTTAATTAATATTAATTAAATCTCAAATAATTTATTATTAATTAAATTTCATTATATCTATATTCAAAATTATATTAATTTTAACTAAAAATATAAAAAGATTAATTTATAAAAATATACTTTTAAATATAGAGATTTATATACTTTAAATAGCAAATAAAATATTAAATAAATATTAATATATAAAAAAAACTTAATTATATTAAAAGAAAATATTTACTAAATAAAAAGCTTTTAATATATTATTTTAATAAAAATTTAATATTCAAATTCAATATAATAAATATCAAAAAGAAAGGAATTTTAATAAAAAAGTGTTTTCTAATTAATTTTATAATAAATATAGAAAGATTAAATATAATATAAAAACTTTTCAAAATAATATAATAAATTCTAAATTATTAGAATCTTAATAATTTCAATTAATTAATTTAATGATTATTGAATAATATAGATTTGAAGATATAAATTGAGGGAAAAATGGTTTACTCGATAATATAGCTCACTCGATGATAAACTACGTTATTCAATTATATATATATATATCAAAAACATATATTTTTGAAAACTAATATTTCATTAAATTAAATACTTACCTTCTTCGAAATCTACTATCATTATTATTTCTAATAATAATATATATATTCTAAAGATTTTCTAATCAATCTGATTTCTATTATATATCTTAATCCATTTTAAAGAATTAGAATTATTGATTTCAAAGAAATTGAATATTATATAACTAAGATTTTGAAAATTGAATACCTTAAATTTAAAGTATTTTAGATTTCAAATTAAAGAGTAATTCAATCTTTATTAACAATATAATCCTAATATTATTAATATAATTGAAAAAGCTTATAAGATATTTAGTTTAATAAGGTGATTCGATTAATATTATTTTTATTATTAGTAAAAATATTTTGAAATAATTGAAAATAATTTAATTAATTTGAAAAAAATTCTTTTCAATTGAATATTATAATAACCATATATCTAATCAATTTGAAACTAATTTATATATTAATATCAATTAAGCTCTTTCAAATACTCTAATTAGTTTTTCAATAAATGATAATTGAAAGAGTAATATATATTATTAAAGTATTTATATCAAACGAATTGAGTTGTTCATCAAAAATATAACCAAAAGCTCTCAGATTCTTAAGGAAATAAATATTCCCCTCGATTTCTGATTAATCGAAAAAAATTCGATTATTAATAAGCCACAATATTACTATGAAAAGGATTAAGATATTATTTAGAATTCTAATTAAAAACGTTTTATCGACGAAGAGATTCTGAATATTGAGATAACAGTGAATCGACATACCTTCAAACATCCAACCTATAGGTGAGATCACGCAAAAGGTACCTGGAGATGATGATATTGAATAGGAGCGCAGCAATGAAAGAAACTGCACGGAGGAACTTCGACTATATGCAACTCTTCTTCTTTTGTTCATGGCGGTAGGGGGGCATGTATTTATCTTTCAAACATGTGATGACTTTTGTGAGGATCTTTACTTATGTATATAGATGAACCAACATGCAAGTTTTGCGTGATATGTGAACGGTATTATTAGACTCATCACTTCATAGTATTTCGAATGTTTCCAGGCAGAATTTACGTATATCTCCATTCAACACCAAATTCATTCATTGTAGCATATGTTCAGTAGTTGCTCATCCCTAGGTATTTTTATACCTCGTCAATCACCATGCTGGATCAATACAATCAAGTTCCCATCTAGATAGATTTATCAACAAAGTATGGACATCAAGGATAAAGATTAAATCATCATTGAGCACTGGAATAGTACATGTCGCTGTTCGTACATAATTTCTTTTCTCTGGCCGGAGTGCAGGCTTAATCAATCATGTCATGTGACCAGCATTCAAAGTGCATAGACATCTTGGAATTGCAAAACAGATTGCAACCAAAAATCCAGAGCGATACATACGGCCATCGATGACATCTGTGGAACCCAATAAAGAGAAGCCAGCGGGCAAATCTCTTTTCACAACATCAGCTGGTGGAGCATCTCTCTTGATTGCATTGCAAGCCGGGTCTCGAGCGCTGACATTCATCGTGAATCAGGTACTTCTCCGGTATCTCTCACCCGAGCTCCTTGCTGTGTCCACACAACTTGAAGTTTACTCCATCACTGTACTTTTCTTCTCCAGAGAAAGTCTGCGTGTCGCAATACAGCGCCAGACCGACACGAGCGATGATGACTCTAAAGCCAAACAGGACAGTACTCTGTCCACAAAGGACAGATATTTGGATAGCCGAACGACTGCTGGTAAAAACCAAGCAATCGTGAATTTGTCTTACATTTCTATTGCTCTCGGATTGGCATCTACGGTGCTCTTTGGTTGGATCTATGCCAATGCCGGACAAACTGGCGTGGTTGAAACGCCTTATTTTCAACAATCTTTGAAACTATACGGTGTGGCTGCAATTATAGAATTGGTCGCTGAGCCATGTTTCGTCATCGCGCAACAAAAATCGGCCTTCAAAGTCCGAGCTGCTGCGGAATCGATAGCAACAGTTTTGAGATGCATTGTTACTTGCGCTGTTGCGGTTTGGGCTGCGCATCATAAGATAGAGTTGGGTGTACTGCCGTTTGCCATTGGTCAGGGGGCATATGCTATTGCAATACTACTAGTGTACTTACTGGGCGTCTGGAACATTGCAACAAGGGGCGGCTTCTCATTAATGATCAAGCCTATTTACAGGTATTTCAAATACCTTGACATGGTATAATTCACGAAGCTAACTAATGACAGTAAGAACAAGGAGTATATTTACTCTCACCTCTCCAAACCACTCTTGTCTTTGGGAGGGAGTCTGATGGTACAATCAATGGTAAAACATGTCTTGACACAAGGCGACACGTTTCTTATAGCATCTATGGCCACCCAAACAGCCCAAGGTATCTATGCACTGGCGAGCAACTATGGTGGTCTGATTGCTCGACTAGTCCTACAGCCAATTGAGGAAATGTCTAGAAACTACTTCGGGAAGCTCCTTTCTGTCGTTGATGGAAAGCCAGGCAAGGGAGCTGCCGAGAAAGCCAGCGCAGACTTGCACAGGCTTCTACGTATATATCTTATATTGTCAGTTGCCATAGTTGCCGTGGGTCCAACTATCGCCCCGCTTCTATTGAACTTCATTGCTGGCCCACGATGGCAATCGTCTGGGGCCGGCAATGTTCTTGCAGTGTATTGCTACTACATACCATTACTTGCACTAAACGGAGTGTGCGAGGCTTTTGTAGCCGTTGTTGCAACCGAAGCCGAAGTTTACAGGCAATCTTTGTGGATGTCTGCTTTCTCTGCCGGCTTTGGTGGTGCCGCTTATCTGTTTTTAGGAATATTGGATCTCGGGGCCGAAGGTCTAGTACTGGCAAATATGGCTAACATGCTCTTGCGGATCATATGGTGCGGTCGTTTCATTCTGACCTACTGCGGGCGCTATGGCGCTAAATTCACAGTTAAGGATCTGTTACCACGACCTAGCACAATCTCACTTGGGGTTGTTACTTATGCCGCACTTGCTCAGATGAGAACAACATTCACGGGTAGTTTAGTGGACATTGTCAAGAGTGGTTTGGTGGCAATAATTTTTGTAATTCTCCTGTAAGTTCTCAGCTGTAACGCCGATCTATATAAACTACTAACCATTACGCCTTGATAGAGCCACGAGCGAGAAGGGATATCTCCTCGAATGTTACCATGCAATTAAAGGGTGAATCTATAAATCCCCCCAGCAAATTATCCTATAAACCTAGCTTATTGCATCTTAATCAAATGTTATCTTTGTTGCTTTTTTGGTAGTGTCCACATTCTTGAAAAATGCACCGTAAGCATCGTGAGCCTTCTTCTTGACCGTGGTACCGAACTTCAATAATTCGTCGGGGACTGGTTGATTGGCTGCCTTGAGGACGTTGATCAAACTGAATCGACTGTTAGTAGATGAAAAATCAAGATTTGGATGTTTTACTTACGCGCCAGACTGAGCCTTGTCATGCTCAGTGAACAATGTAATTGCTAATCCATCTTTGCCGGCTCTACCTGTTCGACCAATGCGGTGCACATAGTCTTCCACTGTAAGAGGGAAAGTGCAGTTGATAACTAACTTGACAGCAGGAATATCCAGACCTCGAGCTGCGACATCTGTAGCAACCAAAATTGGGGTGTTGCCACTCTTGAAAGCCTCCAAACTTCTCGTTCTTTGTTCCTGACTCAAATCACCATGGATACCAGCAACTCGAAAGCCCTTCTGTCTAATGAAACTCTCTACTCTGGTAGCTTCCTTTTTGTACAAACAAAAGACCAGGATTCGGTCATCCTTTTGACTGCCACTTTGATATTGCTTCAATAGTTGCATAAGTCTGTATTCCTTGTCCCTTGGTTCCACAACCTCAACCTTTTGAACGATGCGCGAGTTGGCTCGCAGATCTCCTGTGGGGTTGTCGCCAATTGCAATCTTCACCGGGCTGGTCATGAATGTGGCAGCCAATTCGCGAACAGACTCGGGCCAAGTCGCTGTGAACATGAGTGTCTGTCTCTTTCCAAGAGAGGGAGTAGTGTTGATAATCTTTCTGATCTCTTCCTCAAACCCTTTATCCAGCATACGATCAGCTTCATCAAGAACGACATATCGAGCCTTGCTCAAATCTGCACATCCTTGATTGATGAGATCGTTGAGACGACCGGGAGTAGCGACAACGATATCCGCAGTTTTCAATGCCCTGATCTGCTCATCCTTGGGAACACCACCATACACACAAACACACAAAAGACCAGATGCCTTGGCAAGTTTTACAATCTGCTCATAACTCTGCATCGCCAATTCTCTAGTCGGCGATACGACAACGGCCCTAGGACCTTTGTTTATCTGGTTCTTGGGCAAAGCTGACATATAACGCACGCAAGGAACAGCGAATGCCATGGTTTTGCCCGAACCAGTCTCGGCGACACCAATTACATCGCGACCAGCGAGCAAGAACGGCCATGCGGCGGCTTGAATGGGTGTTGGAGCCTTGAAGTCCTTGAATGGGGCTCGTTGAGCAGGATCAGTGATCGGCAGGTAATCGAAATTTGTCAGCGGCCTTAGAGTAGCTGAGGTAGATAATGGGTCGGTGATGGTGATGAAGTTTGTGGTCAAGAAGGAGTCTATTTCGCTTTGTGGCAAGCCGCTCAGATTAGGATCTTCTGTGTAGGTTGTTCCATTTTGTTGCGGAGTAACGCTTGCAGGGGCTGCGGTTTCAATAGACTTGGTGCTGTCAGCCTTCTCTTCTCCTTCCTTCTTTAATGCCTTCAATCGTGCCTTTTCTGCCTTTTTGGCAACTTTTGCATCCGCTGCAGCATTGGCATCCGACACAGGCTCAATTGTCTCGACTCCGGATTTTTCTTCTTCTTCTGTCTCCTTTTCCGCCTCTTGAGCCTTCTTCTCCTTCTTAAGTCGTTTTCTTTCTCTGCGAGCCTCTTTCGATTCTACCTCAACCTCGATTGGGGTGGATTCTGTGGCTGACTCTTCGACATCCTTGGATTTCTTTTCCTTTTTATCCTTTTTATCTTTGCGACTTTTCTTGGAGGATATCTTGATTTCGTTATCTCCAGAGTTTAATTCTGTATCTTCTATTGTACGTTTCGGCATGATTGAAATTTGCAATTGTGGTTGATTTACACAGTCAAATATATTTTCAAAAAAGCTGCAGATGGCTCGATGCTACCCTGCAGAAAAAATTATTTAGTTCCTGACAAATGATAAGATAAAGACACCTTCACCCGCTTTGCCCGATACGCGGCTTAACTTTTTTCGAAATTTAATTTGGCGAATCAGAGCATTTCAAAATGTCTTGACATTTCTCTCTTCATTATTACTTATGATATCTAAATGAAATTTGAATGCTATGGTTGCCCTCTCTATAAGATTTGTCTACTATGGCCACTTGCAATTGTGAATTGAGTTTCCTATTTAACTCGTATCGAATCCCACATCTGCTGATCCTCTTTCGTGGATCTTGTAGACAACCTTCCTTGTCTTACATCTTTATAGAATTAGCCAGACACATTATACCTTATTATATGATACGATATAGTACATATCAGGAATGAAATCAATCACTATTTCGATCATTGTTTATGGAGACTGCTAAATGTAACTGTTGGTATCTTATGCTTCATTTTAACTAAGATGTTGTACCTAGGTACGCTGTGTGAGCGAGAGAAAACTAAACCTCCCCTAAACAGTCTGGTGAATACCCAAATTTGGAGTTGGATCAAGACAATGTCAATTAGACCAGTCTCCTTTGCCCGTTCTGATCTTTACTGACTTCAATAGTCCGGCATCCGATCACCGATCCATGCTTTACCAGATCAAACAAATACATCTTTCAATCATAATACACGTGGAAAGAAAAACCTTCATGTCCCAAATGCGCCTACTATCAATTTTTTTTAAACTGTTGCTGTCTGAGATTGTGCGGGTTCCATCACTGCATCCACGTCAATCTTTGGTATGGATGCACCAGTACCTCCGAGGTTCGTAGATTGAGATTTAGGATTCTTGGTGTAGTAATTCGAGATAGCAGATTTGATGGCATCCTCGGCAAGCATAGAACAATGGACTGAGCGAGTGATGTTAGCATATGTAACTAGGTAAATGTAAAGTGCATAGACTTACGCTTCACAGGTGGAAGACAGAGCTCCTTTGCAATTTCTGTATTTCTCACTCGACCGGCCTCCTCAAGTGTCATTCCTCGAACCAATTCTGTCAAGTATGAAGAAGAAGCAATGGCCGAACCACAACCAAATGTCTTAAACTTCACATCGGAAATAGTATTCGTGTCTGGATCCACTCTGATTTGCAACTTCATGACATCGCCACATGCTGGTGCGCCGACCAAGCCAGTCCCTACATCGGTATCCGTTTTTGACATACTACCAACATTTCTCGGCCGCGAATAATGATCGAGGACCTTTTCATGATATGACCTGCGACCAGTGACGAAAGATGGCGATGCAATCTGAGCTGGTAGAGGTCTGATAGCGGAGTGGCTGTTTGCCGATAACACTCTGCCGGCAACGCGGGGTGCATTTGACAAAGCTCTTCGAAACATTTTTGTGATGGTAATGGAGTGGCGATCGGATAGGTAGGACGGTTTAGTTCGGATCAATCAAAAAAATTGATGATATGATGATGATATATGAATCAGGTTGAGTATTGAACTTGATGAGATTTGATGGTATGGAGTTTTGATAAGTAGGGTAGTATGTTTTTGATTATTATGTATCGCAGATGAAGCAGGTAGGTTGGGTTGTGATGGCTGTTTTGTGTATTGAGTGTTTAAAGTTGGGGTAGATCTGATAATAAATTGACGGGATTTTCAAGAGGTCATCAAAGAAATAAAGAAATAGAGGAAAGCGGGATTCGCGGAGCTCGGAGTCTCAAAGAAGACCTCAAAGAGGTTTAGCGTATATATTTAACTGCCCGAACCACCGTTATCAAGCTTACGCTGCTTATCTCACGCACTTTTGTGTCATCAAGACGGATATAAGGTGGGAATGGGCCAATCACTGAATTGTAATGATAATTAGCACACCAACCGTTATTGCAAAAGATGGAAGAAGACCGATTGATACCGACGGAGATAAGATCGATTCAAATCAAATGGACCAATGAGCTGTCACCACAAAATGAAGTACGAAGTAAATGACAAATGCTCGTTATTGTCTTCTCCCATGTCAAGTAGAGTAAGTGGTGGCGAGATGCACGAGATATGGAATGCCTACCGAAAATACTCTGTACATCGAGATCGAGAGACTGACTACCTAGTAGTGGATAGGATAGGATAGGCTAGGTTACTTGTTGGACTTGTGAGACTCCTGGCAGAATGAAAGGCCACTCCCCGTGATACCGCGATACTTTTTACCCCTTAGATTGCTTTGATCTACCTTATTAGTATAGCAATGCGTGTAGTACTAGCATACTACGCCCACCTAGAATAATCTTTACGCGTTGATCATACGAGCACACGTGAAGCTTCTCTTTTGTCGTATGCACTCACGCACTCACGCACTCACGCACTTACCTACTATTACCTATTACCCCACCAATTCACGAGATATTCCCACCCCACCATCCATCCATCCCACCACACCAACATCAACACCACATTTCCACTTTCCCATTTGGTTAATTCCAACCTGCCTCGAAACTCCCTACCCTACCCCGTCTGATCCTTAGTCTAGTAATACATACCTAGTATCATCTACGACTACACACTATCGCTACTTGTCCGGCTTGTCATTCTAGCAACGTCAACATCTACCTCTCAAGGTAGTCAATTCCTTGCTACTTACATAACACAGCAATATAAAATTACAAGATACCCAAGACAAATGTCTTGTACGCATGTTGACGCAGCTGGTAAGTTCCTTACAACCTCTTGACCACCAACCTAGTATCAAAACTGATGCCTCTTCAGAGCTGCGTCCCCCAGGACCAAACCAAGCGGTCTATCGCGAAGATTGTACACAATGTTTTGATTCCATAGTAAGCTTCATCATTTGTTTGTGGCAGTTGCCTATATTTATCTTAAAAAACTTTTCTGATGGCAAAGCACGACTGACCTTAATTCTAATCTAGGATGACTCCACTGGTTTGGATGTTTGCCTGTTTTGCTTCAATGGCGGCTGTACTGGCGATAGGAACCACTCCAAGCTCCATCATACCATCAAAAATCATCCTTTAGTTCTCAATATTCGAAGAACAAAACGCCATATTGTTCGAGATGAGCCCCCTCCAAAGGTGTCCAGATTAGCTATTGCTGCAGAAACCGAAGCCGATCGATTCGAGTACCATACAAAAGTTCGGTGTCATGAATGTGCGGTTGACGATGTCGATAAATCCTCCGGTAAACTACCTGCGGTTGTGGATGGTGTAATGAAAGCAAATACATTTTCAAGAAAGGAAGAAGTGAAGGCTTGGGAGCAAGAGTTCACATCATGTGAACACATTCTCACTTTACAACAAGAAAGCGCACGCCAAATACAGTCTCAAGATCTAGGCCATTGCTCTCTTTGCGATCTCAAAGAGAACTTGTGGCTCTGCTTACACTGCGGTAATCTGGGATGCGGGCGAGCGCAATTCGGTGGACTCAAGGGACATTCCCATGGACTGGAACACAAGCAGCAGACTAAACACTCAGTTGCGGTCAAATTGGGATCAATCACTTCAGATGGCACGGCTGACGTGTACTGTTATGCATGTGACGAGGAAAGGATTGACGAAAATCTTGGGAAACACCTCGCCCATTGGGGAATCATGCTTGCCGAGCGTGAGAAGACCGAAAAGAGTTTGATGGAGATGCAAGTCGACGAAAACATGCGCTGGGAGTTCTCTATGACTGACGAACAAGGCCACGAATTGACGAAACTGTTCGGTAAAGGATTTACTGGCTTGAAGAATTTAGGCAATAGCTGCTACTTGGCAAGCGCGCTCCAGTGTCTATTTGACCTTCCTCAATTTCAAGAGCGCTATTTCTTACCAGATTCGGATCTACCTATTGTTGAAGATCCTGCTCAGGATCTGGAGACGCAGTTGCGCAAATTGGCAGATGGTCTACTTTCGGGCAGATACTCGTTCCCAGATCCAGTTACCAATCAATCAGAATCGAGCGGTGTTGCAGATCAGAAGGGATTGCCACCTTCAATGCTGAAATATTTGGTAGGAAGAGGCCATGCCGAATTTTCAACCATGCGTCAACAGGATTCTTTTGAGTTTCTCCTTCACGTCTTTAAATTAATTACACGTTCTCAGCATGTAGCTCCATCCAAGGATCCCATACGAGCTTTTCGTTTCGTCATGGAGCAGCGTCTGCAATGTCTAGGCTGCAAAAAGGTGCGATATCGCACAGACGAGCAAGATAATATATCTATTCCAGTGCCACTCAAAAAAGTACAGGCAACGGCTACTACAGATGGCGAAAAAAAGGATGAGTATGAAGCTGTAGCCTTGAAGGAATGTTTAGACAGTTTCACGTCCGAGGAGATCGTAGAACTTACTTGCTCGACATGTGGCAGTAAAGATGGGTTTTCGAAAAGATCGCTCTTCAAAACATTCCCAGAGGTTCTCGCTGTGAATGCTAGAAGATTTGTTCTCATCAATTGGGTGCCTACCAAGGTCGACGTTCCTGTCGTTATTGGAGACGAGAAGTTCCTTTTAGATGATTATCAGTCACCAGGTTTGCAACCTTCAGAAACACTTCTCCCCAATGATGATGAGTCCGATCAACCTTCGTTCACCGCAGATGCAGCAGCTTTACAACAGCTCGAGGCCATGGGATTTCCAGTGGTTCGTTGTGAGAAAGCCTTGCACGCTACTGGAAACAGTGACGCCAACGCTGCAATGGAATGGCTCTTCGCACACATGGAAGATGCAGACATCGACGTTCCACTAGATTTGAGCTCTGATAAAGCTACACCTGCTACAGCCGACCCCGAGAAAATAGAAATGTTAGGCGCTATGGGATTTGGACCTCCACAAGCGCGAAAGGCATTAAAAGAAACTAATGGCGACATGGAACGAGCTGTAGAATGGCTTTTTAGTCATCCAGACGACCAGGGCGAGTTTGAAGACGAGGTAGCAGCTGT